GAGTCAGGTCATGGACTCTGGCCTTTGGAGTTCCACATATAATGTGGCCAAAGTCTCACAGAACCATAGAACTGGCTAAGATTACAAGATGGGCCTTTGGGCATCTTGCTTATTCTGCATCCACTGGATGATTTTGTAGAGAGCAGAACACCGTATTTTCTCAGGATCTCTCTCATTTTCAGTCTAATTTGACAGTTAATGAAGTGGTCTGTGTTTCCCCAGATAAGAGTCAGGGTCAATCAGGCGCTGTCTTTCTAGAATTTGAATTATGAATCATAAATTGTGAAAATATTGAACAGAACTTATCATCCTTCCTGGAGACATTACTAGGAACCTCAGGGATGTTCTAAATTCCATTCAAATCTGTTAAGAAGTCTTCATACCTTCCTTTGCCCAGAGATAGTGTTCTTTGGGTCTAGAGATTCTATATTCTATATAATGATTGCTTTACTCATCACTGTGAACAAACACGTCTCAGAAACAGCTGTATATGTTCAGTTGTGCACTTTCTCCTGTTCTTAATGAAGACAGTGTTGTAGGGGATCTGGTGGATACCTCTGTCATAAGAAGTTGTCTATTGTGCAGTGCAGAGGATTGGGCCCTTTCTGCTAATGTCTTCCTATTAAGCTTTCTTGTGATGTCAGAGATAACTGTGTCCTTTCCAGCTTAATGATAATGCTACAGGAGCTGAACTCACTTAAATGTCTCTGTCTTCTTTTTAAGTAGCATCACCTAGACAGCATTACACACCGCTCATTTTCAATCTGAAATGGTGTGGAAGCTTAGAACCTACTGTTGGAGAAGGATCGGTGGATTTCTTATTGTGGTCCTTATTCTGATGCAGTGTGCATTGTTGGGACAATAAACCCATCAGGGCAGGAGGGAGAAGATGGGTTGAAAGAACATGTTTATGAGGTTTTCAAAAGGGTTCATACTTCTTGGGTTTTCATTTTCTGAGGGAGTGGGGAGGGTACCACCTACGACTATAGCTCTTGATAAAAGTCTTGATTGCAGTATTTGCTGTAGACAGTGATGTGATAATAGATTGCTTTTCTTTCTGCTAAGTTGCTGTGAGTTCAACTATGAACTTGTCCTCTCCAAAACAAAGTACCGTCGAGTGGCAGATTCTTCTTCAGTCTTCATGATGCCCCAGTGATGTAAATCTTCCGTGTTGAATCCTGTACAGGATGTCATAGCTGTCCTGGCTGGAGAGTGACATTTTCTTAACTGTGGTATCCTCTCAGATGATTGACTTATGACAAGTTTGCCATAAAACTATCCAGCACACTCTCCCTCTCAAACTCATGACATCATTATCATTACACTTAATGTGCTATCTAACCAAGTTCATTTAGTGTTGTTTGTATGTACGTATGTTTGCCCATTCCAAGTGGTTAGCCCTAAACGCATCTGGGGCTTGTCTTTGGAACAGACTGATTTTCCTTTTCTCAGGAGTCATTGATAATCTGTAGCTCTTAATCTAGAATGTGTCCTTGTTATATTTCCAGCATCCATGTTGGCATGCCCACTGGTACTGTTCTTGTTCAGGTTTTGTTTAGGCAACCATAGTGTTGAGACTTAATAGGTACAGCCCTGTCAGGTCTAGAAGGCACTATCTCACAGCAGAGATCCACCTGCCTCTGATTGCTAGGATTAAAGGAGTAATCCTGAAGGGTTCAGTTTAAAGCATGAGAAATTTTCTCTCAACATTCTGAAGAGCTGGTCCTGTAGGATTTTAAAGTGAATAGGGATAGCCTCGAACCTGTAGCGTGTGAAGACAGTAACATCAAACATCATGCTGGACTGAACACTTTCCTCCTGACTCATGGGTTACACAGGGGGAATCTGCAATTTACTTAGAGCAAGAGCTACCCATCCATGTTTACACTGTTCAACCTGAAGGCAGTTTATTTTCTCAGTTTTGGAATTTAGACAACTGTAGTTTAGAATTAATTCAGTGGTTTCAGTAATCCTATGGCTGACATGAAGCCTTGGTTCAAGACACATCATCCAGGCCCAGGTGTCTTGCAGCTACTGCCTTGGGCCTACATCAAGATCCAGCCTTTCAAGGCCTACTGCAAGGGGAGTGTCTTCCAAGATGCCAGGGTAACACCATAGCTGTGTTTTTAGATATATGATTGAACTGCCAACAAACTCCATCATGTTTTTCTTGAAATTAGAATCAAATGTTCTCTGCACTAAAGAAAGATTCTTCTTTCACCCAGTACCACTAACTGGTACCACTCATTGAGAATATTTCAATATGAAATTCTTATAATCCTAATACATGAAGACAACAAAGAAATTTCATTTTCATTAAATGTTATCTCTGTCTAAGGGTAGAAAATGTGTCTCGTGCCTTTATTTCTTCCCGTCAACAAAACATGAACATTTTATAAATAAATGAAAACAAAGTCAAACACAAACTCCTTAACATTCATGGAGCCAGGATAACTAATGCTTTCTGATGTTGGTTTTATTGCTTATGTCTTTCTTCATCTCCCACTACATCTTCGATGCTCTGTAGGCACAGCTAGTAAGGGTGCATTTGCTTTTCTTTCTTTCTTTCTTTCTCTTTTTTGAAGTTAAATGTTTATTAAATCAAGCCATTAAATTATATATCCACCTACACTTAGTAAGCAAATGCAATATCTGTATAAGTTAGAAGGTAACCAATCAGAATTAGTCAAGAAGCTGAGATTCCCTTTGGATATTGGTAACCTCACCAAACTACCTTCTAGCTCCATCACTTGGAGAAGATTTCAAGAGAGTGATTTATCCCATTCTATAGCAGCAAAGTCAGCAGCAAGGCAAGGATTTTTAATTCCATAGATTGAGTTTCTAATTTCGGTTTCATCATCCCCATATTCACAGCTAATAAGGAGTATCATCAATACATGGTTAGGACAGCAATGATAGAGAAATTGCTACCTTCAGTGAGCCGGGTTCCAACATAAAGAAATTGCCTTTCACGTCATGTGCAGATTATGATAAGCATGATCTAGATCAATGACTCTCAACCTGTGGGTCACAATTCCTTTGGGTTCTCTTATCAGATATCTTACATTATGATTTGTAACAGTAGAAAAATAATAGTTATGAACTTATTAGTTAATCATCTCATTGCTTTAGAGAAATTAAGGATCAACCCAGATCAGTGTTACCAGGGATTTCTAATATCCATGTAATCTCCATAGTCTAAAGTGTTTGGGACTTTCTGGCTCAGCAGTTTCTACTGAGGTTTGACCATTCAGGGTACACCTTCCAAACAGTTTTTCTCAAACACTCTTGACTATTTTAGAGCCCACCTGGAAAAGCCACTCCACCAGGGACATCTGTCACCTATAGAACAAAGTTCAAAGAAGGCCAAACTCAGATGTATTGTGTAGCTCAGTGGTTCTCAAAATGTAGTTAGCGCCATGAACTTGAGGGGCATGCTGAAACACAGGCGTCACTAGAAGAACCTGAATTCCTAGGAGTGGGTGTGAAAATGCTTGATCGGGGACTCAGTCACACACATCCACCTAGGCAAAAGTGCTCCTTTGGCTTCAATAAAGGCAACTCATAGCATTCACAACTGACAACCTAGAGGTCAAAGAGGTCCCATGATGTCTTAGCCAGCCTCACTTAAGATAGTAGAAGAGAAGCCGGGTCGTGGTAGCTTTAATCCCACTCCTTTATTTCCAGCACTTGGGAGGCAGAGGCAGGTGGATCTCTGTGAGTTTGAGGCCAGCCTGGTCCACAAGAGCTAGTTCCAGGACAGGCTCCAAAGCTACAGAGAAACCCTGTCTCGAAAAATCAAAAAAGAAAAAAAGAAAAAAAAAGAATAAGAAAAGCATAGGGTGGAAGAGTGCATTAGATTGGTTATATTTCCACATGAGCAGTAGAGCTATGTAGCTATTCTCTCTCTCTTTCTCTCTCTCTCTCTCTCTCCCTCTCTCTCTCTCTCCTTCTCTCTCCCTCTCTCTCCCCCTCTCTCTCCCCCTCTCTCTCCCCCTCTCTCTCTCCCTCTCTCTCTCTTTCTCTCTCCCTCTCTCTCCCCCTCTCTCTCTCCCTCTCTCCCTCTCTCTCTCCCTCTCTCTCTCCCTTTCTCTCTCCCTCTCACTCACTCGCTGTGTCTCCAGGATCCCACCATGTAGCCCAGGCTGGCCTAGAACTACCTATGTAGACCAGAAGGGTCTCGAATTCAGAGAGATCATCCTGCTTCTCTCTCCCAAGGGATGAGATTAAAGGTGCCACCACATCTTACATGAGGAGTAACAGCCTCTTTCTCCAGGGTTTTGAGCACCTTATACATACTTACAGAAAAAGCTTCGTTTAACAAAACAAAAACCTAAAATCACAAAGTGTCTGTTACCTTTGACATTGCTAAGTCTGTATAAAGACCCATTCTGGATACTAATGGACAAAAGGAAAGCTAACAATGCAGAAAACTATAGCAAGAACAAATATGCAAGTAGATTATCTGTTTAATAACCACATGTTAAAACATGACCAGCTCAAAACTTCAAGTAGCTGTGTTAAGTTTTGAGATAGTGTTTAAGAGTCAGTAAAATAAGGTGATCTTTACCACACTTGCCCATTATAATTAACATTTTAATGCTCATTAACACGAACACCAATAAAATAAAAAAAAATTCCCTTGGCTAAAATAGATTTGAATCCCATCTATAAAGTTTATTTGAGGTAGATCCAATCTTACAGGCTACTTTAGTGAGAAAATTTCATATGTAATCATTAAAAGAACACCTCGTTTGGGATCACAGAAGCACATACAATGAGAAATTAAAAACACACAACACACTCACATGTTTGTAGTGCTTAGCTGTGTACCCAATACCTCTTAGCCAATGAACTGCCCCTCACAACTCAAAACAATGTTGAGCAATTCAAATACATTAGGAATTATAGCCAAATATGGTTCTGTTTATCAAGTCCTAGTTTCTCAGCGTTTTCCCATAGGTGAGGCAGAGCTGTCCCAGCCATCTGCCAGATGCCCTTTATTTGTGCACAGAGTGGCTCTGGAGGTAGGTTAGCATCTCTGTGATAGGTCTGCCTTCACAGCAGATCTGATACCCTGTTGTGAACAGTGGAAACTGGTCTAGAAGTCCCTTCTGCTTGAGGAAATGGTACACTAAGGTAGAGTTCTCGAGTCCTTGAAGCTTCCTCCCATTCAGTATGTCCTTCTCTAGTTTTCCAATAGTCTTCCCTGTCCCGGAGAAGGACTTGGTCACCTTGGAGTCACTCCCTTGATAGCAGGTAGTGATGAGGTCAGTCAAGCCGCAGCTCTCCAGGAAGGTGGCCGTGGACACTTGGCCCTTGCAGAAGATCCTGGTGAAAGCAATCATTTCTATAAGGCCAAGGTGGATGATGGCAACCTTACTGTTTTTCCCACAGCGGAGGCCATTGCAGAAGGTGGTTCCCATAGCAACGATGTTTTTTAGTGCTCCACAGAGTTCCACAGCATCGGCATCTTCCACCACAGTGATGCGGAAGTTGGGAGTCTGTAGCAGCTCTTTGAAGAGAAGGCCTGATTTTTGACAAAAAAGCAAAATTATCAAATGGAAAAAAGTATATTTAACAAATGGTGTTGGCATAACTACTCACACACCACCAGATTGGATGATGATAACAGGACCCATTAAAATCGCTAGTTAGAAGTTTATAGCTTCACTACAGTGCTAACCTGATAGGGACTATTGTATAGTATTTCCATACACGGTACAGTGCTGTAAAGTCAGTTAGATCTAATTCATAGAAACATCAATTCACGTAGTTATTTTGTGGAGAGAGCACAGTCCATGGACTCTTTCTGTTTCTTAAGAATGAAACATGCCAGCATTAACTGCACTCACGTTGCCGTGGAATGGGCCTGCTGAGATTGCCTTCTGTCTGACCGTAATTACAGATCCTTCGGCCAGCACCTATGCCCCCCCCCCCACCATGTCTCGCCCTTACCAGTCTTGTTTCTGATAATCACCATTCTACTCTGCTTCGTGAGGCCAATGTTTTAAGCTTATGCATGGGGCTTGTCTTTCCCCGACTACTTTATTTAACTTAACAGAAACCCCTCGAGGATGCCAGTCTTTACAGTGATGGTACCGCATTCTCCTGGTTGTGTGTGTCACATTTGCTCAACCACTCATCCAATGGTGGTCATGGAGGTTCACTGCACATTGTGAACAGTACTGCAGCAAACATGGCAATGCAGATGTCTCTTCACATGCTGATTTCATTTCCTCTGGACAAATATCTAGAAGAGGGAAGTCTGAGTCATGTGCTAGGTCCTTTTGTAATTGTTAAGAAACTTCCACACTGTTATCCACATTGACTACCCTAACAGACATCCCAACCAAAGTGTGCAATGGTTCCTTTTGATTACAGCCTCACCAACAGTAGTTAACTTTTACTGTTTTTACAATAGAAATTCTAACAGTGACAAAATAAGTTCTTATTGTGGATTTGATTGGCATTCTCATGATGTTTCATGATAGTATTCATTGTTTCATAGGGTTTTTTTTTTGCTTATTTTTTTGCCATTTCCATGCCTTATTTTGAGAAATGTATATGGAAGTTTTTTTTGTCCATTTTTTGATAATGAGCGAAATTCCATATATACTTGAGATATTAATCCCTCTTGGACATGCAGTTTGCAGGTATCTGCGCCCTTAGAAAACTGCATGTGCACTTGCAGAAGAAACTTGGACCCTTCTCGCTCACATATGCAGAAACTAACAGGAAGTGGTTTATATGCTTAAATTGAAAACCCTGAATATCCTAAAAGAAAGCATAGGGGAGAACCATTATGCCATCAGCACAGGCGGTATTTTGTGTAAAACTTTAGAAATTCCAGGCAACAAAAACAAGTTCAGGCAAATAGTGTTACAACAAACCATAAAGCTGCACAGAAAAGAAATGCCAGAGCAAAGGGAAGCATCCAGAATGACTCAATGAATGAAATGAGAACAATAGTCATCTAAGATGGTCATGGAAGCAGATCGTATATAAACTGTAGGAAGTCTGTGAAATTTCTGACAGCATTTTGACGATTGTGTGTACGAACATGGGACTATTCACCCAGGACACCATTACAGTCTCCCTCTCTTTCCTTCCTTTCTTTCTTCCCATTTTTTCTTCCCTCCATCCTTCTCTCTCTCTCTCCTTTATTTCTCTTTTCATGATGTCACTTTTTAGCCCAACTTAGCCTCAAACTTATACTCTCTCCACCACACTGGAGAATAAGTGTGCAGTGTGCCAACCTATTTCCAGTTCATTCTAAAGAAAGGTTATCATCGTATGTTCAGAACTGGGCCCCGGGCTAAGATCTCTACCACTTCTTCCTGATTATCAGATACTTTTAATTCCTGCATAGAATTAGGAGTTAATTACAGCCCCTGTGTCCTCTCTAAAGATGCATCTGGCCTTCCCTTATTCCTGGGTACCACACGAACAATACTCAGTTTCATTCTTAAGTCTTAAAGGCAGGAGCAGTGGAAGAGGCAGTACCAGTAGTATAATGCGGATTGAACTTAGGTGTATTCCATTAAATCAAAAAAAGGACTTGATGGCGTTGGTGCATGTTCCATGCAGCAATGGGAACTGCACATGAAAGGAGAGTTGAGGGGTCAACTGCAGGGCAAATCTTACTTGTTTGCCCCCCAAACCATCTCTCACCATGACATACTGCCAAGAACAAAGAAAGAAGCACACTATAACAAGAAAGAATAAGCATCCCCAGAAGCTGTAAAGAACCCCAAGCCGGAACTCTGCCTCCTAGTCATGTGCATACAAGAAGTTTGAGAGAAATCCCATTGGCATTATTTTGAATCTGTCGTTGGTGATATCAGTAGCAGCTGAATTTTGCCTTCTGGATTCAGACAGTCCTGTGTTTGCAGGACTTAGGCATTATGGTTCTATCTCAGTGAGTACATAGTTGGATCCCTGTCCTTTTCTCTTAAAGAAGAAACACACATTTAGGTACAGAATGGAATTTTCTGATTGCTTTGTCCTGTTTTCCCCCCTTGTCTTCAATTTGCAATTACAAAATGTGAATGAATTCGAATTCTAGTACTTTTTTTTAACACTTGTATGTTGCAATGTTTTAGTTTAGAACTAAAATATGGATGATAATGAGAGAAATTAGGTAATTAAGAGCGTGTTTAGTTATTGTATTATGAACTGGTTCTATTCCAACGGTTTATTTGTATGAAGGCTGCCAACCATGGCCCAAGCATTGAACAGATGCTAATGGCTGGGTGGCTTCCAGTATGAAATGGCATCTGGCATGCCATCAGCTCTGAACATATCAGTGTCCGTCCATCCTCATGCTCCCTATGAAGACACTGAATGAGGCAGCTGCTCATTTCTCCTGAAAATGACTTGAATCTTGGAAATATTCTTAGTAATTTTAAATCTAATTTAATATACTCCAGTAAAAACGCTGGAGATTGTACAAAATAATATCAGGTGTTCCTTAATGATGGAGACAGTCCAAGCTCAACTAAATAGAACTGAGCCACTGACAGACAGCATGAACCTTTGGGCATTGGTTAGGAGCTTTGCCTCCACACTGACCTCACTTGTCCGAGATGAGAAAACAGTATTAGACAAATGGGCGGGAGTTTATGAGAAGATTTGCTCTATTTAACTTACAGTGAAGAGAATTAAGAAAACATCAGCATTGTTTTTTTAAATGCTAGTTTGTAACTCCACACTAAATGTAAATAACATTTAGAATATTCAACAAGCTACAAAAATGTTTGCTAAATATGAGTAAAATACCTCAAAGAAAGAACAGACTGATAAAAAAAATGAATGATAAGAAATGTGGGGGAGGGGAGAGGGGGTAGAAAGGGAGAGAGAGAAGAGAGAAACTCCACAGGTGACAGTGGCACAGGTGTAACCAATATTTAAAGCAGTTGGGGGCAGAAGTGATAAGAATATGGGACATCACATCAGGATGGCAGAGGAGTATGAAGATAGAAGAGATGAGGAGCTAGTTTAGGACTTAGGAGCATGTAGTGGTCTTGCAGAGGATGCAAATTTGGTTCCAGCACCCACATTGGACAGCACAACTGCCTGTGACATCAACTCTGATGCCTGTTCAGTATCTGCTTTATCCGAAGAGAAAAGCAAAACAGGGCATTCAACAGCAGTGGTGGAAGATATGGGGGAGGACGTAAATACACAGATGGAAGAGGGCCACCCAGCACAACTCTCAGGGGTCAGAAACAGATTTACCTGCAGATATATCTGGCAGGAGCATAAATTTCAAGTATGGGGGAAAAAATCATTCTGCAAATATTTAGGTGGGAGGAAAACTGTTCTCTTCCTGTAGGAACAAAAAGTAGGCTAGTGTCCTTTTAGAGTACAATACTTTTCTAACAGGACCTTAATCCACAAAATGTTAGTTAAATGATGCTAAGGAAAATAAGCTATAATTAAAATCTCTTCTTAAACTTTAGTAGCATTAAATGTGGCTCCACATGGAAGCAAAACCTTATCTCACCTTTACCATACAAAATCTCCTCTCCCTGTTTTGATATTGTGACGTTTGCACATAATTTAGAAATATCCCTCATAGCAACAGTGTCCTTTGCTTTACAGAAGCTTCTCAGTCTCAGGAGGTCCCATTTATTCAATGAGGCCCTTAATGTCTGTGCTGCTGGGGTTATACGTAGGAAGTGGTCTCCTGTGCCCATGTGCTGTAGAGTACTTCCCACTTTCTCTTCTATCAGGTTCAGTGTGTTCGGACTGATATTGAGGTCTTTAATCCACTTGGACTTGAGTTTTGTGCATGGTGATAGATATGGATCTATTTTCATTCTTCTACAGGTTGACATCCAGTTTTGCCAGCACAATTTGTTGAAGATGCTCTCTTTTTTCCATTGTATACTTTTACCTCCTTTATCGAACATCAGGTGCTCATAGGTTTGTGGGTTAATGTCAGGGTCTTCTATTCGATTCCATTGGTCGACTTCTCTGTTTTTATGCCAATACCAAGCTGTTTTCAATACTGTAGCTCTGTAGTAGAGTTTGAAGTCAGGGATGGTAATGCCTCCAGACGATCCTTTGTTGTATAAGATTGTTTTGGCTATCCTGGGTTTTTTGTTTTTCCATATAAAGTTGATTATTGTCTTCTCCAGATCTGCGAAGAATTTTGATGGGATTTTGATGGGGATTGCATTGAATCTATAGATTGCTTTTGGTAGAATTGCCATTTTTACTATGTTGGTCCTCCCAATCCAAGAGCAAGGGAGGTCCATCCATTTTTTGGTATCCTCTTCAATTTCTTTCTTCAATGTCTTAAAGTTCTTGTCAAATAGATCTTTCACTTCCTTGGTTAGAGTTACCCCAAGATATTTTATGCTGTTTGTGGCTATCATGAAAGGTGATGCTTCTCTAATTTCCCTCTCTGTTTCCTTATCCTTAGTGCATAGGAAGGCCACTGATTTTTTTGCTTCACCAACCCCGCAACTGATAAAGGTCTGATCTCCAAAATATATAAAGATCTCAAGAAACTAGACCGTAAAAGGCTAATCAA